TCCGAGGGCACCAAGGCGGTCACCAAGTACACCAGCTCCAAGTAGAGTGGTGCGGATTACTCGATTTTAACCCAAAGGCTCTTTTCAGAGCCACCATTTATTCTAGTAAAAGGGCTGTGTTACTTCTGAGGGGTGTAGCGTAGGTTTTTAATAGAGTGAAACGAATGCGAGTGCTTGAGGTATAAATAACAAAAAGAAATAAAAGCTTAATTGAGTATTTTGGAGGTCTCAGTTCCAAATTAATTGAGCAGTAGCAACTCATGGAGTTAACGGGGTTGCTCGGTAACTGTGCTATTGCTGCAGCAGGGTACACGGTATTCCAGCAGCAGCCGCTGCTGCTCTCTGCTGTCAGGACCCCGTCGGGAAGGTGAGTGCTTCGTTTTGCTTTTGATTCTTGTGATAAAAGCTATACCAAGAATATTTTATCTTACTCTAGAAATACATTCCTAATAGAAAATCGGCGTTGCTGTTAAAAAAAAAAAAAAAGTTCGCGTTACATACATTGTAGCAGACCACCCTTAAAGAATAATCTTACTTCTCCCTATTTAATTCATTAATAAACGGATGAAAAACAGTCCCCGAGGCGTCGCTGTTTCGAACCAGCAGCGCTTTCTTTTCCCTTTCCCCTGTCGCGCACTCCATCACCGGACGGGGAAGGACCGCACGCTGTTTCTCCCCTAGGCAAAAGCAGCCGTAGAGCCGCGCAGGCGGCGGCTCCCGCACCGAGCACCGGGACCCGGGGGCGGGATGAGGCGGGGACGAACGAGCGGCTCCGTAGACGTACGGGACGGGAGCGGGGGCGGTGCCGGAAGGGGGTTGGTGCTGAAGCGGACCAATGACAGCCTAGCGCGGGTTCTTTAAACCCCTCCCCAAGTAGGAGCCCGAGGTTGGCACCGCCCCGCCCCGCCCGGCTGGGAAGCGCCGCTGCTGGCGCCTCGCTCCCGAACTGCACGTAGCCCATAACGGAAGGGGCTCTTATCTCCCGTGCGAGTTGTAACTAGCGCGCCCAAATCTGAATCTCCGCAACTGAGATGATTAGTTGTGCTGCCGCGGTTCCCGCAGCATTCCAGCTCTTTTTGAGAGTAAGTGGGTGGCTCTTAAAAGAGCCTTTGGGTTTATTTAAACGAGCAGACTCGAATTTCTTCTGTCATCTTACTTCTTTTTGGTTGCTGCCTTCTTTGCCTTGGCTGCCTTGGGTTTGGCTGCCTTAGGCTTGGCAGCTTTGGGCTTCACCGCCTTTGCCTTGGCTGGGCTCTTGGCAGCCTTCTTAGGGCGACCAGCCTTGGCAGCTTTCTTCGGGCTCTTCGTTGCCTTCTTGGTGGCAGCAGCCGCCGGCTTCTTAGCTTTCTTGGGGCTCTTCTTCACTGCCGCCGCCTTCTTGGGCTTCTTGGCAGCAGCCGCGGGCTTCTTGGCCGGTGCCTTCTTGGGCTTAGCCGCGGGTTTCTTCTTAGTTGCTTTCTCTTTGGTCTCGCCCGGCTTTTTATTCAGCTTGAAAGAACCGGAGGCGCCGGTGCCCTTGGTCTGCACCAGGGTGCCCTTGCTGAC